TTGGCTAAAACTTGTAGCTTTTATTTACTTTGTTTTTTCACTAATTAGGAGATGTACAAAAAATGTTGACAAAGCAGGTAATGATGTATTCTATTCGTTCTTTCTTCCAATATCTCTTTTATAATCAAATATGTCTTGAAAATATATCTTATATTTAATTTTTTATTTTTTTATCAATGAAAATACCATTCCCCCTCTCAAACAGAGCATCTATGTTACATCTATGCTACCAAGAGTACAATTCAGTGTCAACATCGATAGGGTCATGATGGGTGGATGGGTAGTGTGACCTGTTGGTGACAGCCACGTGGCCGAGCATGTTGTGACCCTATTGGTGAGCCACCGTTTTTTTTTGTCTATGACAGATGACCTTAAGTCCAATAATTATGTATCTGTGTCTTTGTTCCATAATGGACAGTTATTAGAGGTATAAGTTGTTAGTAACTCAAATGATAACAAAGATGAATTGTATACTCAGACATCTTAAATTTAAGTTTTAACAATTATTTAAGGTTAATATAAGAGAGATTTATTTCTCATGAATTTCGTAGTTCTACTGTAGATGAGTTGCTTTTGACCGGACCGAAAAGAAAATTAGCTGAGATATACATAAATTAATCCAAACATTCTTGACCGTTAGAAGAAAATAAAAAGGTATTAGTGGTAATTGGTCAGGTAATAAATGTGTCAAAGAGTTTTTCCTCCCCCACTGTTCTTTTGAAAACGAATTGGGTGGAAAAGAAAGGATTTTTCTCAAGAAGAGAAGAGAAGAGAAGGAAATTTTTGAAGTTACTGATGGTGACAAGTCCTAAATTCATTGGATAGAATTAAGGGAAAAATAAAGTGTATTTCAATTTAAACTGTTCCGAGTGTACACGCGTGTGATAGACATTAGGTGGATGAGTGTGAGGATACGACTTTTAAGTTTGTATTATTATCTCCATAACTATCTCCGTCTTTTGGTTAGGACTATGCCAAGAATACTGTCAATTTCATTTAAAAGCAATGAATAGGAAATTTCAAGATATGGTTGAGAAGTATATGAAAAACACACATACACTGAATAAACAAGGATATGTGCGTGCCTGTGCATATATTCCATAAAACCAATAATCTTAGTGGACAAAATTTTTTGTTTTATACAAAACATATAAGAAAGCTTATAACCCATCTTTTAGCAAGGTAAATTACTAATGGAAGTGATTAAAACTTGATTACATGGAAAAAGGAGACATCTAACATTAAGAAAACCAAATAAAAGCATATAGAAGTAGTCTCTGGTAGGTGCTCTTCATTGATGAGTAGCCCCTAGAGATATATTTGAAATATACTATGCAACCAATGTTCTAATCTCCCACATCTAATAATAATATGTAAGTGTATACTTTGAAGTATTAATATGAAAAGTTTGTGACTATTAGTAAAACTATAGTTTTAGGACTTGAGATTATTTGGGATTAAGGATTACTAGATGAAATCAAGGATAATCTAGATAAAATATAAAAGACCTTGGTGCCTTCGATGGAACATACAACATCGATTACCGGAAAGAAAGATCACCACAGTCCTTACATTATCAAAGATATTCCAATGCTATTTCAGATGTAATTTATTCAAGATAATGCAAAGTGCACAAATATGTGTGATTTTAATTAAAACCAGTAGAGTTGCTATCACCTCATCCACAGCCGAAAGAGGAAGATAGCATTGATGTATTCCGTAAACATATAGGAAAAAACTTGAAGACTAAAACTCTCTCTCTCTCTCTCTCTCTCTCTCTCTCGCCCGGACACTTCCCCCCAGACCCAACCCAATTCTAAAGCACGCAAATAGTCACACCCCAATACCCATCTGTAACCATATAAACAAAAAGCGAGAGTCAAATAGACATGCAAAACATGGTAAAGATGCAAAAGGGCAGTGGTGACATGATGGAAGTGATGGGAGAGAAGGTGGACTCACCAGGAATGTCCCAAGGTTCGCACTTGTTGAGGTCAACTTCGATCATAAGAGGAGGTTGTTCACAGCATGTCAACTTCTTCATCAAGTAATCACTTATTAGTTCTTCATCTCTTGGATGGAACCTGAACCCTGGTGGCAACTTCGCCTCCACCATGTTTAGATTGCTCATTTTCGAGAGAGAGAGAGAGAGAGAGGGGGAGAGAGCTTAGCTATTCGGAATGTGAGGCCCCCAATATGAACACCATAGGGCTGTGATACGCGTGCATATATATATACACAAATAGTATAGACAAATCAAAAATGGGCAAGTCCATTTCCAACTAATAACAATTATCATTATGTCTAAAAATGATTTTCAATTTAATTTCAAGAGAACAAACTATTGGGTAAAGTCAACCAGTAATTCCGTGTAAGAGATGGGTGTCCGTGTGCACTTCGAAGAGTATTCTTCCCCTATATGTTATGATGACGTGGACTCACCAATGACAGCCAACCAGAGAGAGGGAGAGAGAGTCATTGGTCTTGGCTTCTATCCATGTCTCTGGAATTAATGGTGCCCATTACACGCAGACAAAGTTCGCACTGAAACCATCCGCCTTCAGGCGCCTGTTTGGGGCCCAATACTGTACTTACTATTTCATGACGTCCTTACTGAGAGTGCCTTTTTTGGACTCTGTGTTTTGGAAGTTTATACAACTCTACAAAATTACCAATCCGTCCTTCCCTTTACCCTTACATCTTCCTTTTTTCCATTTTAATTATTTTTTTTACAATGTACATGTTGTGTAGGTCATTATGCTCAGGAAATCCAGGCACGCCTCTGGTATATTAAGACAGTAAATGCACACACACGAACTGTTCCTGAAAGTAAAATAAAGTGAATTGCTCGTTATAGAAGATAGGCATCAACCAAATAACCACAAGGAATCAGAAACTGGTGAGCTCATCTGTCAAAATATTGTGTGTAGTAGGGGTGGGGTGGGATGGGAGGGAAGCCTGCCCCAAAGCAATGGTGAGAATCAAATTCAAGTCGGCCGTGAAGGGCAGCAGCATCAATTACCAAAAAATTTTATTGCCTGACCTGACCCGATGATGATGTTATTTCCACAGTTTCTGACATAACAAAAACAGCTCTTACAATAGCATTATATATCCACGGACAACTAGCAAAAGAAAGGAATTCAAAGTCCAACGATTACTTTCTCATATAAAGGGGTAGTTGTGTTTCCAAATCATGTGCAAAAAGTAGTAATATCGATTTAAAGTATTGATTGCGTTTCACATACGAGTAATTCACAGAAGAAATGCAGCTAGTGGTCTGGTCAAAATGCAAGTCCTCGTGATAATTTTGATTAGAATAAAAGGGTACTTTCATCCAACCGGACAATGAAAAAGAAAGCTCTAAGGATATAACTCTCACTACGTCATTGACATCAATTTTCAACTTTTGACAAATTACTCCTAAAGCACATCTCAGCTGCTGAAGTAGAGAGAGTTCTTTTGTATTTTGCACCAAGTACTTTGAATCGTTTGAAGCACTTAAATGGTAGTGATGGCAATGTTTCAGGCTATCTTCCTCCAAACAGATGAGACTATCATAATAGAATAATGTTACATAGATTTAAAAATTAAACTCGATAATCTCAATCAGTAAATAGGTAATGGGTCCTAATAAATACTGAGACCTACAGTAAAATTAATTATTGAGATTATTAATTCTAATTTTTAAATTCATGATCAGAATATTGGTATACTCAACTCATATTCTTTAGATCAAACATCTGCCCAAAACGACAAATGTTGTTCAACTATTAACACGTGTCATCTCAACGTGTGCCCATCTGTCTCAAAAACAAAAACCCAATGGACCATCCATTCTTTCTTCCGAAGACGTGTGAACTTCAAGTGACTGGAGTCACTTCCAACCTTCTCAAGTTCTAACCATATTAAAAACATCTGTTGTCATTGATTTCTCTGAGGGAATCTTTCTGTTATACTATGTGTAAATTACATCTGAATCTCTTAAAATTTTTCACTTAATCACATAGACCCTTTTACGTTTGAAATATTACGTCCACAACCCCTGTCATTTCAATAACGGAACCAATAGAGTTTAAGTAGAAGACCAAAATGCCCCAACAAATCGGAAGATATTTTGTGATTTAGTTACAATTATGAAAATGTCCCTCTAGCCACATAGATTAAGAAATTTCCACACTTACCTCAATCTTATTGCGTCTTTCTTGTACCTCTTTAATATCTCCTAGAAGAATTAGAATACCCATGCTAGTTTGAAGATTTGAAGGTGGTTACAGTTTTTCATTCCATTCCATTACACACATGACTCTGAAGCAATCAAGGATACAAAGAAGAAGCAGGGGCGACTCAAGTTAATTTGGCAGAAATATTAAATGAAGGCCTTTTTATTTTTTGTATTATTATTTTAAAAAAAATTTTATTTTTAATTTTTTATGTGAGAGGAAAACAAAAGAATGATATGTTAATATTGTCAAGAAAGAAATTTCAACTTTTATTTTTGTTTTTTACTACAGAGAGAGCGAGAGAGTGTTTAATTTCAACCTTTGTTTTCGTTTTTTATTTTTTTTACCGGAGAGAGAGAGTAAATATGAGTTGATTTTTGAGTATTTTTTTATTTCCTAAGTTTTTAATATTATGGATTTGATTATAAGTCCAAATTATTGCAATAAAAATTTTATTGGATTTAATTTTTTGGGACTTTTTTGTAGGACTTAAAATTTAATGGATTTAATTTTTTTTTTTTGTGGAATAGTGATGTATCTAAAGTTATGGGGCCTTCTAAAAATTTAGAATTTAAAACCCATGCTTTATTTTCATAATGTTGGGCCGGCCCTGAGAAAAAAATTAGAAGGTGAAGTTAGTCGTTTGTGGTGACATTGTCTTGAGATTGGTTAGGGTTTTTTTCAAAAAATAATTTTTCTCGATTTTGTCATTTCAGTCTAGTAAATGGCAAAACAGAACATGTAGGATTCTTGACATGAATGGTTTTAAGCCAATGTTTTTCATTGGCTTTCTTTGTATTTTTGGGGTCAAGACTTGCCATCAGAGCTACAGCAGCATTGCCTGCATTGTTTGCTTGTATAATGTTTGTTGAATTAATGATCATGAGTACTAACGCCTAGCTTCACAACATTCTAGGTTAATGCAAGCCTAACATTCTAGTTCATCACGTAAGATAATGTTGAATTAATGAGCTAAATTAATCTAATATGGTTTTAGAATTCAATTGCAATTTGTTTGACATTTTATAGCCATCTAGCTTTGAAGATTTCATTTCTTAAACCTTAAAAATTCACTGAAAGCACCAATTGGCAAGACTGAATAAATAACTTTTTAAAAAACAAAAAAAAGTAAAAATTGTAAGAAAAGCACGTACTGCTCACATGCCAGCTCGCCACTTTGTTTCTAATTGCATGTTTAGTATTTTTCTAGGATAATTTGAAAATCGGTACAAAAATTTAGACTTATTTGAACTAAATTACATTAAGAAAATTTATTTGGCCTGCATTTTTTTTTTTTTTAAATCTAAAAAATCATTTATTGCTCCATTACTCTCTCACTCTTTCTTCCCTATTTCCTCTATCTATTTCTCTCTCTTTCTCTCGCATTGATAATTTTTTTTTAAATATGTAAATATTTAATTTAATTTTTTCATCTCTCTCCTTTATTTTTTTTTTCTCTCTTCTTATATCAACGTTACAATAACACAATTACACTAATCAGTTACACTAATTAATTACAATTATCCTATAATACACCAAACAGTTACTCATATATTCTAATAAACCAAACAATTACTCTAAACAATTATATGAAATAACAACACAAACTCAATTTGTCATTCAATTATTTACATAAATCAAAGAGTTACACATTTAGTATCACGACATAGTTACACCAATTATATATACCAAATTGAGTTTATTATTACACAAAAAACTTTATCATTATACTGAATTTAGTATATATAATTGGTATAACGATGTTACAATACTAAATAGTGCAACTATTTAGTTTATGTAAACAACTTAATGATAAATTGGGTTAATATCATAATTGTGTGTAATTGTTTGATATATCTGTTTAATTTATTAGAACGAATGAGTAATTATTTAGTGTATTATAGAATAATTATAACTGATTAGTGTAATTGTATTGTTATAATATTGATATAAATAAAGAGAGATGGAGAAATTAGGAGAAAGAGAAACGATTAGAGAAAATAGTGAGAGAGAGAATAGGGGAAAAGAGAAACAGTTAGAGAAAATATGGGAGATAACTGAAAAAATAAAAGGAGAATTACACTCAGACCCCCTAACATTTAAAATATTATATACAACCACTTGAGGTGTGTACGCGCATAACACTTAGATCACTGTTGTAAATATATCTGTTAATAAATTACAGTTAGACTCCCCTAAAGTTTGTGGGTATATAATATTTAGAACCTTTAAGTTTAAAATATTATACTTAGACAAAAAATACTCTAATTAAATATAAAATATAAAATATTTTAAATTTTATAACTAAAATTCATGTTCTATTGTATCATTTATTGATATAAAATTAAAAATAAATATTTATTTTTTTAAAAAAAAATGTAATTAAGATACAATTTTTAAAAAAATTTAATTTAATTCATGTAACATTGCTTTTCTTTTCAAATATGTAAAGATTTAGAGATTATGCTTGCATAACACGATGACATCATGAAATTCTAACGGGTATATTAACGAATTCTGACGACAAGGATTTATGTGTTGCACATGCATAAACCTTAAAGGGTCTAGGTGTAATATTCTAAATGTGAGAGGGTCTATTGCGATTAAGTGACAAATCTCTGAAGAGTTGTGATGTAATTTACCCTTATACTATTCATTAAAGAAGTCCCTGCCATGTCACATGTAATTTTAATATTCCAAGTTGAAATTAATTCCCCCCCGCGGGGGCTCTCTATCGACAGTGCCAAGTTGATATTCATTACGTTCCTCAACCCTATTTAATATTCAAAAAATGAGCTTGAAAATGGGTCATGATAGGTAGGAAACAAAATGAATGCAGACGAAACTTTGTTGTCACATAAAGATAACTAAGACATCTGATGAAAAGTTTGGAAGGGCATAGAATCAA